GTGGGGGGTGTGGAACAGGGGAGTTTCGATCAGTAATTCACTCGCGTAGCAAACAGTAAGCTCTCGGGAAAAGTTTTTGCGATTGATAAACGCGAAGGTCGCGTAATCCACCGTTAATCTAATATTGAAATCAGTAAAGCTACTTGAGCCCGTCTCCGTCCCGGCAGCAACACGACATTCCCTTTTTCTTTCGGCTACTCTGTCGCGGCCGGCCGGGCTGCGGGCGTTGATATCACCTGTCTGATTTGTATATACGTCCTGGTGCGTCATCGCGGACCGTCCAGCGGGCCGTCCAGCAGCGGGCCGCCGCCGAGGCTCCCGGTGCGCAGTCTGTTTACTTCCGGAGGACTGACGTAGTACACATACAGTGAGGCGCACAATCCCCCAAAAAACAACGAAAAGCACGGTGTCTGGACAACAACAACAGCAGTATTCTTAAAGCGATGACGCGGCGGCAGCTAGAGATGTAAATAGAGCCACGAGACATTTGAATCAAACCCTCGCCGGAGCCCCTTTAAATGCGTGGATGTCACACTCTTGTAGGTGTGTGAACAAATTTCGTACACATGGAGGGACAAGTGTGCGACATTCACACACTTGCGTTTCCAGTGTGTGTCTTGAGCCGAATTAATTGTTGGACGTGTTTGGCACCCCGGAGGCAAAAAGCGCGGCATGACCACCCATTTATGCAAATTCTGGATACGCCTTTTGAAAATACTGTTGGAGCAGGAACCCTCTGTTTGTGGATGCCTCATTTTCTGGAGCACCCCTGTGTCTCGACGTGGATAGAATCACCCTGGTGGCCCCAGTCCGGTCCGGCCGCCGCCACACGTGCCCAGGGCAGCCTCTCGAGTGCCAAGTGGCCGTTGCCGTTACCCGGCTAAGCGTGGGCCGGGCACTAAGGCACACGTGAGAAGGCCTATCGTTCCTGACAACGATAAGGAACGATGAACACCCCCTGTGTCTGGTTGGAACACCCCCTGTGCCTATAGGTCCCGTGACCCCCACCCCCTGTGTCTAAAACACACTGTTAAAAGCCTGCGAAGTATTTTGCTCCTTTGTAACTACGAAGCATTTACTTCGCAATTACAACGTGATGCTTTGCAATTACGAAGTGACACTTTGCAATTGCAAAGCGATGCTTTGCAGCGTTTTCATTGCTTCGCAATTGCAAAGCATCACTTTGTAATTGCAAAGTAAATGCTTCGTAGTTACAAAGGAGCAAAATACTTCGCAGCTCTGCAAAGCGAATGCTTTGTAGGAATTTAACAGTGCACCCTCTGCGACTGAAATATCCTGTCTAAAACACCCTCCGTGCTGGAGCACACCCTGTTGAAACAACCTTCGCGCCTGGAGCACACTCTGGGTGTCTGTAGAAACCCCCTGTGTCGGAAACATCATCCGTCACTGTTAGAAATTCCGTAGGCTAATTACGGAATTCTTACGGAACTCACCGTAAATTCCAAATACGGTACGAAACCGTAACGGGGTGATTGTAATTTAAAGATACGGACTTGTCCGTATTTCAAATTACGGTCCGTATGGTTTCCGTAAAAATACGGAAAATTTACGGTACATACCGTGAAAAAAATTTCTTGACAATTCCGTTCAAAATTCCGTGGAAATTTTTAACAGTGGTGTGTGGCACACACCCTCTGTTTCTGGATCACCTTCTGTGTGTGAAACACCCCCGTGTCTGGAACACACTCTGTGGTTAAAGCCCTGCGGCGTCAGCCCTGTGGCTGTTGCTGGAGCGAATCGCGGAATCATCGTGGACTCGTCGGACGCTCAATCAGATTAGTGCAGGGGGCCAGGGCCAGACCAGACCATGGGCTTCTCAATTATTGGCCATCGGGATTTACTCGCGGTTTTCGGTTTGGCGGCGCGACTTAGACGTTTATTTGACGGGATTTTCGTTAGAAAACATACCCCTTTCCCCTTTTCCTCTCGGTCGATGACCCCTTGGAGAGCTCTGCGTTTGCGACGGTAAACACGTTGCATTGCCCTCGCAGTTCAAACGAGTGGGGAGGGGGGACGCGCTGCACTCATTACCCAAGTATGCGTGTTAAACACCTGTAAAGTGTGCAACTGCAATTGGAATATACTTGCAAGTATTGAACTCCGTAGTTGCCACTTGTAAATGTTCAATTAGGGATCATCCTGTAAGTACGCACGCCGTCGCCGTTACGAACCTGCCAAGTTCAGCCCGAGGTTCAGCCTATGCAAGCACTGAAAGCGCCTGGTGGATAGGCAACATCTTGCTTGCAGTACATGCCTGTACTGCGGGTTGGCCTACCCTGAGTCTCGCAGTCGCTGAGCTCACGTCATTTGCCAACCGGTACCAGACCTGAGAAAAAAAACCGGACATAGTTTCTGGACGATCTCTAAGTAGCTGTGCACTTGCTATGCTATGTTGAACCCTTTCTTAAATTGTGCGCTTACTGTGCACGGAGCGTTAAATAGAAGAGTTTTCACACTTACAATTCTTCTGAGTTTTACACTTGGTCTATCAGTGTGCAAATTGTAACTGAACTGAAGTCTCGGAGAAAGTTGTGTCGCAGACAGGTGTCGCCGGTTTTTCAATAAGTTTTAAGTCGAGTCGCCGCCGTGACTCGGTGACCGCGAGTGTGGGCGGGCGGCTGGAAGTGGAGGCACTCGACCAGGGAGGGAGGGGGAGAGATACAGTGCGGAACAGTTATTGGCACTTGATCGAGTGGTGTGTGGTTGATTGATTGGCTATTGACCCTTGAGTCGCCACGGCCCGGGTACGTGGTCGTGGTGCGTTGGTGTGCGTTGGTGTCTCGCGGTGAGGGCCGGCCGCGCCCCACCCCCGCTCCACCGCTGAGGCCGGAGGGTGGTCAGCAGCCCGGCCCGAGGGCGTTGCCGAGCTCGGTACGTTGCTCCCCCCACTTGCTCTGCTCCGGGCTCTATTTTTTCCTCCATCAGCGCAGAGATGGAGAGGTACGGGGCGGTGCAAAAGAATTCGGCGGTGCGTATTTATTTTTGGGCGTATCCCGGGCCTATCTGTCGCGCCATTAGTGCAGCGGCCCCAGCGACCCCAGCGGCGAACAGCCCCGTTGATGCGGAATGTCTCAGATACGGGAGCCGGGGAGGACGCTTGTGCTTACGATACACTGGAGGGAAGAACATAACACTTGATCTAGAGACGTAGCAGCTGGTGATTCCACGAGTTGGGCTAGTCTTCGTCATTGGACGACTCGTCAGACCATTTCATGGAGAAAAATACTTTGGTTGTTGTAAAAAATTGTTGGTGACCAAACATTTTTCTCAGTGTTGTTTCTATAAGCTAGCTTTCTTTCGCTGCTCTGCGGGAGGGAATTTCGGTCGTATGCTGTGGATAAACCCGACCTGACTCGTGCGTCGGGCTAGCAGGCTATGATTTAACCCAATGTGTGGCCACAGCCGCAAGCCGCAGCACTGCCATCTCAATGTCATCATTAAAGTACATTTGACGTTGGCAGTGCAGCAGTGCACACAGACGGCATTTAAATTAGCCGGGGTCGAAAGACTCGGACAGCCGAGCGATCGGGGAGGGCTGCAATGGGAAATGGGGAAACATGAATTAATTCATGCAATTGCAATTGAAACCGAAAGTCGGGCACACCAAGAAGGTGTCAGCTAAGAGCGGCCAAGTAGTCGGCAAAACTGTTTTGTATTTGCCGCTTCGAATGTTTCCTGTTTTCTCTATATAATACCGCACAGCTCTCGTGCTTTTGTTCCAATTTCGATATAGAATGGTGGCACTTGCCAAAATCTGCTGAGATCACGATGTACCGGATATATGACATCATTCAGATAAGGTTATTTTACGGGGAGAGAGCTATTTGTCCACCTATGACTGTTAAAAGTGCTGATACCAGAAGCTTTTCAGACAGCAAGAAAGTACTTACACCTATGAAATGCAATTCTTGGCTTGTCTTCGTCAGATAGAATAGTACGGTTCAATAACTTTTATTATAGTTTGAACTCATTCAATAACATGCGATACGTATAATACAAATTTGGATTGACTAATACAAAATAAGATTAATATTCTTTACTCATGCACGTGCATTTCTAGCGCAAGAAAAGTGCAAACCCGTCGGGAAAAAGTATACATTTAGAGATTGTTTTTCATCGTCACCTCCTAAACGGCAAACATGAAGAGTTTGAGAACCATAAACTGTACATTTCGACCGGCCATTCATTCGTCGGCGTTCACCAAGCAAGGATTTCATACCCTTCCAAACTAACTATCGTCTGTTCACACCTATTTTTCTGGCGCAGGGCCGTTTTGGCGGATGATATACCATAAAAGACTAAACATTTTTTTCTCTTTTTCGATCGACAGGAACACGGAGAAGCGAAAGGAGAAGTCACGTGACGCGGCGCGCTTCCGCCGCAGCCGCGAGACGGAGATCTTCACGGACCTGAGCGATGCCCTGCCGCTGTCGCCCGGCGCCGTGGCGCACCTGGACAAGGCGTCCATCATGAGGCTCGCCATCTGCTACCTCAAAGTGCGCAGCCTCATCCACATGGGTGAGTGTATGTCTGCCATACCCCGCGCCCACCGCAGCGCGGAGTAGCCGCTGCGCGGGGTACAGCCGCCCGGGACAGGCAAGGGGGCCGTGCACTAAATTCGCCATTTTCGGATGATGTACTTTTTTCACGGCCCTCTATTAAGTTTGGGGTTGATGAGTGGGAGCTTCTCGCCGCTATGATAAAATTACCCCACCCGTAAAAACGGTTACCTGCCGGGATACAATAATTATCATGGCCTATCACAATCCGTCTGCGACGCGACGCTGAGTTCAAATATGGTGCCTTGATAAAAAGTACCCCGCCCATCGAGAATTAGGTAATTTGTGCACGACTCCTAAGGGTGAACATTCGCGTCTGACATCTCGCCTCTCTGCTCCTCAGTGCCGGAGCAGGTGACTCCCAAGGCCGACATCATGAACGACCCCCTGGTCATGAGCGCCATGGAGGGCTTCCTCCTGGTGCTGTCCGCCGACGGCGACATGGTCTTCCTGTCCGAGAACGTCCACGAGTACCTCGGGCTCAACCAGGTACGTTTTATACTCCACCTGCAGCTGGCGGGGGGTCTTTCCTTCTTTCGTATGGTTTCCTCATGGTTCTCTCTCCCTCTCCGCAGCTGGACTTGATGGGCCACAGCATCTACGAGTTCAGCCACCCCTGCGATCACGACGAGATCAAGGAGATCCTCTCGGAGAAGTCGGTCGTGAATGGCGGCCAGCGCTCCGTCATCCCGCGCTCCTCCTTCCTGCGCATGAAGTGCACCCTGACGAGCAAGGGCCGCAACGTGAACCTCAAGTCGGCCTCGTACAAGGTGATCCACTACACGGGCCACATGCTGACGGGCCCGGCACGCGTCAAGGAGGAGAGCGACTCTGACAGCGCCAGCAGCTCCGGCGACAGCGGCCTGGGGCACGGCCGAGTCAGCAGCGAGAACTGCCTCGTGGCCATCGGCGAGCCCATCCCGCACCCCTCCAACATCGAGATCCCGCTCGACAAGCAGACCTTCCTCAGCAAGCACAGCCTCGACATGAGGTTCACTTACGCCGACGACAAGTAAGCGCCCTTGCTCTTTATAAGTGCCGCTGGGTCTTGGCGAGCTGCTTGAGTCCCCGTCATCACTTTCTTCCTGTTTTTGCGTTCGCAGGATCGGCGAGTTTTTGGGCTACGATCCCAGCGACCTGGTGGGCAAGTCGATGTACGAGTTCCATCACGCCATGGACAGCGAAGTGGTGGAGAAAGGCTTCAAGTCCTGTGAGTATGCATGCCTGACTTCTCAGGGGT